ATCTATCTATCTCTCTATCTACTTATGGTAAGGGACAGGTATAATTCATGAATTTCCAGGTAGAATCAGGCAGTATCAAGCAGTTAGGGTTTACAGACTGTACACTCAGGGCCGGGGCAATTATCATCTGGAAATTATTCAGAAATCGTAAAATAATCATTTTTAGAATTAAACAAAGCATGATTTACAAACAATAGCTTATCTGCAATTAAATTATGCTGAATCAGAAAGTGAAAAAATTGATGAAAATAGTAGTATTGCTATTCTGCTGAATGTGGTTTTTCTTCCTACGTATAACGTGGAGTTAACATTCTATTTTTTAAGGGCTACAAAAAGCATTAAAAAAGCATTTAGAAATCCACGAGAAAAAAAATTAATTCGCGAGAAAAAAAACCTTGAAAAGAGGTTTATTCTATTAAATATAGTATACTCGGAATAGTCCAGTTTGTAGTCCAGTTTGTAGTCCAGTTTGTAGTCCAGTTTGTAGTCCAGTTTGTAGTCCAGTTTGTAGTCCAGGTTGTAGTCCAGTTTGCAGTCCAGTTTGTAGTCCAGTTTGTAGTCCAGTTTGTAGTCCAGTTTGTAGTCCAGTTTGTAGTCCAGTTTGACCTGTTTTCGGGACTTTACTTGGAAGTGTATATGATTTCAAAATGGCATTTCTTATTAAAAGAAGTTATTTTTCATTTTGTTAAATCATGCTTCTTTGCACGCAGGTTCCTTAACCTAAACCTACGCACGTTAGAACAGGAAAAATATGGAATATATTCAGTATTCTGTTCAGTTCAAACATATTTTAGTTTTGGATCTTTATTTGTAGTTAAACTTGTGTGTTTGATAGTAATATATATATATATATATATCAGTTGAAACGCAACAATCTTCTTATAACATTTTATTCATAAATATATAAATATATATATATATAACTAGGCTTTTAGGGCGCTTCGCGTTTTAAATAAACTTGTATTCTTGTATCTGTGAGCATTTTCTCGTTGTACAAATAATTACAAACAAAAAAAGGTCGCAGTTTTCCAAATTGTTACTTCAGAAAAGAGTGCGAAGATGCTTAAAATTCACGAGTAAAATAAGTGAAACTTTCGTTAACAATATTTTAAGATTTGTTCACGTTAAATGCAAAAATGTATGAAAATCCTTGCTTTCACACTTATTCCCCCTTTTTCAAATATTCCACTACTTTTTCAAGGATCAAAATATTTCTTTAGTTTTCTTTTATAATTGTTAATAAACAAGAATTTATTAACAATAGTATTTTGTAAAAGTAGACTTGAAAGAAATCTCAAAATTGTTTGTCAAATACCACCAAAAAAAGATTATGTTCGATGTCTAAAAATAAAACCTTATACACAAATTCATTTCTACTTTATCAACCTTCACTCTCATTGTACGAGTTGTTAAAAAACAATTTTAACAAAGTATGAACATGTCTCTGATTTTGTAATCCCTTTATCTTTGAAAAGTGAAGGTGTAAATCCTTTGATATTTCAAACTTAAAAAAAATTTCGGTAAGTGTCAAAATGCGCAAAATGTTAAAATTTTTTCAACATTGTCTTTATTTTGTAATCCCTATATCTTTGAAACGTGAAGGTGTAATCCTTTGATATTTCAAACTTTAAAAAAAAAGTTTTCGGTAATTGTCAGAATGCGCAAAATGTTATAATTTTGTCAAACATTGTGTATATTTTGTGGGAACAGTGTGTGACAAGAATTGAATTATTGATAAATCATTATTTTATAGAAACTCTCTCTCTCTATCTATCTATCTCTCTAGAGATTGATAAAATGACAAAGCTGAAGACTGAAAAATGATGAAGATCATGAGCAACTATCTATCTATCTGTCTTACCCAAATTTGATAAAGGATAAGAAAGAGAAGATGAATTATGTCAGTAAAAGATGTCATTCAACTTGGAAACCAAGATCAAATCAAAATAAATTTAAAAATGTCGTCAAGATTTCAACCTGAAATCAAAGAAAAAAATGGACGGGTTTAAAAAACATTATTCTGTTTTTCTTGAATCTTGGTGAGATCCTATCTTGTATCCTGTATCCTAAATGTATTAACCCCTGCATTCCTATATTCTTTATATTTAAGTCTATATTGCAGATACCATCAAATCCTGCATGTGTATACTGTATAGGATTGAAGCCTGTACTTTTTGTCCCAGAGTAGGATCTAAACCTGCATTCTGTATCCTGATAAAATCTGTATTTTGTATCCTAGAGTAGGATCTAAACCTGTATTCTGTATCCTAGAGTAGGATAAAATCTGTATTTTGTATCCTAGAGTAGGATCTAAACCTGTATTCTGTATCCTAGAGTAGGATAAAATCTGTATTTTGTATCCTAGAGTAGGATTAAAACCTGTATTCTGTAACTTGGATAGGATTGAAACCTGTATTCTGTAAACTAGAGTAGGATTAAAACCTGTATCCTGTATCATGGAGTAAGATTGAACCCTGTATTCTATATCCTAGAGTAGGATTGAAACTTCTACTGTATCTTGGATAGGATTTAAACCTTTATTCTGTATCATAGAGAAGGATTAAAACCTGTATCCTGATCCTAGAGTAGGATTGAAACCTTTATTCTGTATCCTAGAGTAGGATTAAAACCTGTATCCTGTATCCCAGAATTGGATTGAAACATGTATTCATCCTGGATAGGAATGAAACCTGTATCCTGTTTCCTAGAGAAGGATAGAAACCTGTATTCTGTATCCTTCAAGGATTGAAACCTGTATTCTGTATCCTGATTAGGATTGAACATTATATTCAGGATAGGGTTTAATGCTCCAGGTCCCAAATATCTCTCTGAAGAATTGTATTTCCACATCCTGGGACTAATGATCCTAACATTTCCTTTTCTGTTCAGATTCTTTCAGTTTTTATAAAAGTATAATTCTCGAACATTATTTGGTTTGGGATAAACATATACTCTTATATATATCTTTTTTATCCTTCTTATTTTACTGTTTTTATTTTGTATATTCTACTGTTTTTTGCGGCTTACTTTCCGATTTTATCCTGCTTATTTTACTGTTTTAATCCTGCTTATTCTACTACTTTTAACCTGCTTATTTTCCTGTTTTTAACCAGCTTATTGTACTTTTTAAATCCTACTTATTATACTGCTTTTATCCTGCTTATTCTACTGCTTTTATCCTGCTCCTTTTTCTGCTTTTATTCTGCTTATTCTACTGCTTTTATCCTGCTTATTTTACTGTTTTTATCCTGCCTATTCTACTGCTTTTATCCTGCTTATTCTACTGCTTTTATTCTGCTTATTTTCTGTTTTTATCCTGCCTATTCTACTGCTTTTATCCTGCTTATTTTCCTGTTTTTAACCTGCTTATCGTACTTTTTTAATCCTACTAATTCTACTGTTTTTATTCTGCTTATTTTACTACTTTTATTCTGCTTATTCTACTTTTATTATCCTGCTTATTCTACTGTTCTTATCCTGCTCATTTTACTGTTATTATCCTGCTTATTTTACTCTTCTTATCCTGCTTATTTTACTGTTATTATCCTGCTTATTTTACTGTTATTATCGTGCTTATTTTACTGTTATTATCCTGCTTATTCTACTTTTATTATCTTGCTCATTTTACTGTTCTTATCCTGCTTATTTTACTGTTCTTATCCTGCTTATTTTACTGTTATTATCCTGCTTATTCTACTTTTATTATCTTGCTCATTTTACTGTTCTTATCCTGCTTATTTTACTTTTCTTATCCTGCTTATTTTACTGTTATTATCCTGCTTATTTTACTCTTCTTATCCTGCTTGTTTATTGCTCTTATCCTGCTTATTTTACTGTTCTTATCCTGCTTATTTTACTGCTTTCATCCTGTTACTGTTTTTCAATCCTATTAATTCTACTGTTTTTATTCTGCTTATTCTACTGCTTTTATTCTGCTTATTTTCCTGTTATTATCCTGCTTATTTTACTGTTCTTATCCTGCCTATTTTATCAAATTAACTATCAGAATATCCTTTCTAAAAAGTTTCAGGTCGTCATTGAAATCTCATCCTTGGCAGCTAAACCTGTAAAGGGTTACCCACAAAGGATAAGACGACCTCATAAAATAAAAACAATATATATTCTTGTATATCAATGCATAAAATAACAAAAAAATAACGATCTCGAGGCTAATTATAGTTTCAGAATTAAAACATATTTTATGATTTGACAAAGAAAAAAACAAGTTAACATTTCCAGGAGACCAAGATTTTAAGAATAAAAGACAGAGTAGTTTCCGTACAGTCGTCATTGAAGTCTCAGCCTTTGTGGGTAACACTGAACATCGTCCTTTCCTGATATTCTTCTATCAAATCTGTCTCCTGGATACACACACAGCTGATATCAAGTTTTTCTTCTCGGGACTAAATCCAGTTTCATCATAGAACTCGTCTAGTTCAACATATATCGGAGAAAATAATATAAAGCAATGAATCTCAGAGGAAAAATAATACTCCTCAAAACAAAATTATGTAGTCGTCGCGTTGTTTTGATAATTAAGGGCATTTTTTCAGAATGTTTTAAACCGTCGCAGTACTTCATTGGAAAAAATACTATTGTGATTAAAGAATATCTCAATAACAAGAAAAGACGACCACAAAGATTGAAAGGAGTTGAGTCTGTTTCAAAAACTTTTATTTTCTAATCCCTATATCTTTGCAACCTGATGGTGTATACCTGTGGTATTTCAAACTTAGATTAATTGATCCAACAGAATATCTAAAGTCTACGTCATTGCGTTGCAAAGATTTAGGGATTAGAAAATCAGAGTTTGTGGGAAAGACTCAACTCCTTTCAACGTTTTGGGTCGTCTCTTTTTTGTTATTGAGATATTCTATATTCATAATAGTTTTTTTTTTTCAGTTTTTAGTTTTATATTTGTTAGAAACGTTGCATTGCATCCTGTATATTACTAGGAAATCAGTGTGAATTTTGCAAACTGATTAATCAAACATTTTCAGAAAGTGCATTTAATCCTTAAAATGATTTCAGATTAATATTTGCATACCAGGATATAGTGAACGGTATGTAAATAAAAAAAATTAAGCAGAAAAATGCCTCAAAGTCATCGGAAACTAAGAAGAACAACAAACCTCTAAAGTGAATTGTTTAAAAAAGTGGAATCAACCAATTGTGTGAGAAAACTATTAAAAAACTAGAAAATCTGGTAAAAAAATGGAGGAAAATACTCATCATAATCTACTTAATCAGGTCCGTCTTTTAAACTGTTATTGAAATGACAATATAAGCGTATTTTCAAATGACCCTTATATATTGCTTCTTATAAACAAGAAATGCGCATTCTTTGGCAGAGAAACCGCGATAAACAATTAAAAAAAACATTGATACCTAGTCAGACAAAGCTTTCAAGAGTTATACTGTTGTAAATCGGGTATTGCCATGTCTTTGCATGGAGGTCAAAATTACATTATTTACTGTATCCAAATGTTGGGATTAAAAACACAACTAAGTCTATCCTTGGCTTAACATTTTTTTCAAATGTAAAATAAAATTTTTGTCAGATTTAAAATCGGTAAACCTTTTAAGTCTGTTCGTCCAAAGTATTAAAAAAACCTGCGCAAGGAACTGAACTCTTGCCACAAACTCTGATTGTTTAACCCAGGTATGTCTTTGCAATATGATATCCTGGACCTTTGCAATATGATTTTGCAATATGATATCCTGGACCTTTGCAATATGATGTCCTGGACCTTTGCAATATGATATCCTGGACCTTTGCAATATGATATCCTGGACCTTTACAATATGATATCCTGGACCTTTGCAATATGATATCCTGGACCTTTGGTGTTTCAAACTCTGATTAAATTAGGTCAAAGAGTCTAGGTTGGAAATATTAAAAAATAAGAATCTGAGTTTGTGGCCAAAACTCAATTCCTTTGATATTTATTTTATCAATTTAATGGCATATATTTTTTTTGGTTCGTTTGTCCTGAAATAAAACCCCTGTGAAATTTATCAGAGTTTTAATAAATATTTGAGATTCGAGCTTTCAGGAACATCTTTGAGCGGTAAGATAGGCTTAGTCCTAATCACACGTACTAAAAATAAGATATTGTGTATATTTTCAAATAGCTATACATTCCCTTTAATAATATGTATTTTCAATTAAGTGAATAGTCCCTTTAAAATGTCAAAAAAAAATATAAATTGTCATTGTTTGTTTTTATTTTAGAATGGTACTGCATATTCTACGAAGGACATTAGTTCTTCTCCGTACAGTAAGAAAAAACAAACAATCGCGACTGCTTGCGCGACTCTAGGCTGTTTGCTGAACGGCTGCGTGATTGGTTTCACAAGCCCGGCCTTACCTTCACTTCTCACCGGAAGTCCGGATATTTACGGAAACCCGGTTCCGTTAGAGCTTCAACAATCATCATGGATTGCTAGCATTCTTTCTATCGGATGCTTTATAGGTAAAAGAAAATTCTAATTCTTCTTCATTACAAAGGAAATTGAGTTTGTTGCAACAAAGAAATCAAGTTACAACCAATAACTCGTAATGGATATGTTGTTAGGATTGGTTGAATCAAATGGCTCACTTATATCAGAAATCCACCCAGATTTTAAATCCTGCATCGATTTTTAAACCTGGCATGGCCCAAGGTTATAATGCAAGGAAAATTATTTCAGAGGTGTACGCATCTTTTGCACTGCAGTGTACTGTCTCTGGGCGGTATTGTAAACTCAAGACGGATGTCACAGCCTGTCATGAGATCCATCTTTTACATAAAAAATCAATGAAATATTCTGGCCATCGGAAACTTTTATGGGAATTATCAAAATTTTCAAAATTTAGTGCTTTTATCCTCCTCGGATACTAAACGAACACTGATGCATCTATTCTTGTTTACAGATTACGCCCAGAGAGAACTGTTTTGAATATGTACGCAGAGTATACGCAACTGCAATTAACTTTCCTTGCATTATAACCCTGGCATGGTTTTTGAATTTACCTTACTAACTCACTCATAATTTTTCGTAGTATTGTACATTTTACATATTTTATATCTAGAATTCGAGCTTCCTTAAATTGATAAATGGCCAAAATGCTAATCGATTTTTGCCTGATAGCAAGCCTATTTTGGGTATTTTATTTTTGTGTGAATTCATTTTTTAAAAATTGTTTTGAAATTTGAACATATAAATCAATGTGCTGTTGTACCAAATAAGAGGAAAAGGACCGAGTTTATTGAATTTGTGGGGTCGCTAAACTGCCTACCGCTGGTTTAAATTTAAATGCTTCCTGACTTTTTAACTTTGAATCGGCAGTAGGTAGTTCAGCGAAGTAGCTCAGTCATTTAATTCGTTACATGGTGTCTAAAAATGCATGGGAAATTATTTAGAACATTTATTATTTTCGGACTTAAACAAGATTCGGAAAGTATGATTATACTTTTCGGTCCAAATTTTACTTTTCTTTCTAACAAAATGTTCTATTCGGCCTTAAAATGGTTTAAAATAATTCAAATATGAAAAAACTAAAGCATTCGGAATTTATACAAGTAGATAAAAGTTTTCTTAAAAAGATCTCATTGAAAAAAGTTAGGACAGCCATTTTTCTGAATTACTTCATTCATACTTTCAAACTCCACCAACCTTTTTTCTAAGACATAATTCAAAAGTCTTGATTTTGGTCAGGCTCACCGTGAGTATATCATTTAATCAAAGTCATGTGTCTTGTGAGCTTTCAAATTGACGGAAATATCAAATTAAAGACATTTCTGACTTCAGTCAAGTTTTGAAGAAGAGGGGGGGGGGCAGACCCGCTATTACATAGTTTTTTAAAATTATAAATTTATTTGTTTAGGGTGTATAATGGCCGGACCTATTATGGAGAAAATAGGACGGAAGCAAACATTACTCTGGGTTTGTACAGTCAACTACGCTCTAGGTTTTATCCTGATCTTGGTAGCTAACAATACCATATTCATCTACATAGGCAGGTTAGTAATTCATTTATTCATTCATTAATTATTCATCCTGATCTTGGTAGCTAGCAATACCATCCTTTCATCCACCTATTCATTCAATCATTCATCATTCATAAATTTAATATTGTCATTGCTTTATCAAATTCGGTGTTCTAATTTTTTAGGCCCCCCTCCTTCCAATATTTCAAGAAGCGATACTTTAATTTTTTTGATTAGTTTTGGCTTCATACAGTTTCACCC